TTAAAAAAGAAGAAAAAATATTTATTTATTTATTATTAAAAATGTTACTTAGGCCTATTTTATTGTTGTATTTTATAATTGTTGACCGTTGGCAGTGTTGGGAAAGTTCACTTTCTACATGAACTAGTTCAAAGTTCAGTTCACAAATTTTAAAGTGAACTAGTTCAGTTCATAGTTCACAATTTTGAACTAAGTTCATGGTTTCAAAAAATGAACTAGTTCATAGTTCTTTTTCTCCATATGTTGCTGCGAGCTATTTCTTTTTTTCAATTATTTCCACAGCCCATATACAACCACAGACAGCAATTAGTTTATCGGCGGGCAAAGTTTGCACAGAAATGTAAGATTTTTCCCATCCTCCCCGACCTTGTCTTAAAACTGATCATACGATACGCCTCCTCGATGCTTTGTCGAGCTCATGCTGCTTCTCGTCTTGATGACGCATGCGGCGGCCGCGGTGCGACACTGGTGGCTGGTGTTGCCAGATTGGGTGTTTTTTTCGCTTCATATTAAGGCCTGTTTACGTGTGTTTTAGTCGGGTTTTCGCCTGGAAGGCTCTATAGAAATCTGGCACCCTATTGAACGAAGTTAAACTGAGAGAGCGTGCGTTCACAGACACCAGAATGAACGCGTTCACAGTAATGTTCATCAGGCAGTAATACAGTACGTTCAGTTCACGTTCACCCAAAATATGAACGAGTTCATGAACTCCCGTTCAGGCACAACACTGACCGTTGGTGTGTCTTATCTTCAGTCAATGTACATGTACAGTCACTCCCAATCATTTTTTTTCTCCTCACACTTCTGAGGTTGAAATCTTTGTCTTCTGTTGGACAGTGCTGTAGACCAGCACAAACAAAGCTCAAATGCCACATCTGATGCGATCACAGAAGTGGATAAATACCTTACAGAGACAAACATACAAAGAGCTGAAGATCCACTTGAATACTGGAGAATGCAGAAACATGTCTACCCCCATACAGTACATTGGCAATACAGTTTCCTTGTACCCCGGCCTCCTCTGGGTCATGTGAAAGAGTGTTCTCTTAGGCTGGGGAAGTACTAGCCTGACTTCGTCATACTCATATTCTAGTCAGAATGTGAGTCTGATACTGCTCCATAGGGCTTTGATTATGAGGCGTGTCTTAACCGAACCAGGAAGAAAAAAAAAACTCTGCACTCAATTGGATAGACCTACAACCAATCAGAGCAACGCAGTAAGTGTTTTTTTATGAGCTACCCATAGTTGTCAACAGAACTCAATTGCACGCGCGCTGGAAGAAGTAGTAAAATAATGAGTGTTGCTTCTTTTACTTGATCCTCCATGAGTGCGACCAAAGGAGAAACCACAACGACCACAGGGTTTTCATTGTGTCCCATCTTCTTAGTGACCATCGGAGCCAGCTGATGAATTAAACTTTCGCCGAATCCCATAGGAAGGACGGCAAACACATCTTTCCGATCGACAAATGCCTTGATTGCAGTTCTCTGTTCATCTTTTAAAATGAATGCGCTGTCGATTTCTTTTACAACAGACGCGATAGCGTCATCAGTACATCTCAGATCTCCAGCTGCAGTGATCTCTGAGGGAAACCAGTTCAACCCAAGCGCTCTTTGATAACGTGAGGATTAGGTAACTGCAGATCATCTGTCCATCATCGTATAAAGCCCGCCCTGGCAATTTGATTGGCCCGACTAATTCTGAACCGATCATAATTACTCATCAATAGAGCGAGTCCAGACCGAACTTCCCGACCAAAAAATGTTGTGGGCGGGGTTCGGGCTGGCATCCAGGCTAGGGAAGTACTGTCTAAGAGGACAAATAGACTCCAACACTGTGAAACAGCTTTTATTTCTTTATTAAAAACTTTATCACCTTTATGACATTCCTATAGTTACATAAGCTCTTTCACTGCCAAGGGTCATAGCACATTTAATAACAGATGATCCTATCACACAATGTCCTTATTCACTATGTGTGTGTGTGTGTGTGTGTGTGTGTGTGTGTGAAGAGAGAGATAGTAGGCCTACTTTAGATCTTATTGAATCATATAAGTCCATTTTATATTTTATTGTCACACTTTAATGGGTAAAGGAATGTATTTAATGGACAAATCAAACAAACGTGTAAGGCTTTTATTTGTTCACATAACATTGAAACTATGGAGTGTGTTGTGGTTGCTTCATCTGATAGAGCTTCTTACACGGGCTTCTGGCTGCTTTATTTTAAATAAGCACCAGATGGCGCTGTTCTCCACACTCGCGAAGCTTTGAACAGTCAGGGGAAAGCCTCATTGCTTCATGAGGCTTCATTTCCCCATCCCTAACACACACTAAACATAACTATGAACAAAGTAACATTGACGCTACATAACATAGACGAGGACCGACAAAGACTAACTGAACAGAAGGAGACTAAATACAGATACTAATGAACAATGACGAGGTGATCACAGGTGACACAGATGATGAAGACGAAGAACAGGTGGGAGTGAGTTCAGGTGTGGAGACACAAGGGATTCTGGGAAGTGTAGTGAAGACGAAGACGGGATGGTGCAGACGATGACTGTGACACACTGCTCTTTAGTAGATTTACTAGGATTAATATATATTTATACAGTGAAGACTATGCAGTGGTGTTTTAAATTTGATTAGTTTCTGTTGATAAAGACTTCTAGATTTTATCATTATTATTTATTTCACAGGAATGCTATATTTGTTAAGCTCCATGCTGTACCTAATCACCTCCGAGAGAGGGAATGGAAGATGTTGCAATAAATAAAGAGTTGTCAATTCATGATACTTAAATACATTGTTGTTAAGAATAGTATTATTTATTTTGGTGATCGGTATCGGTGATCATATCGGCCAATACTGTTTCCTGTGACCAGTCCCAAAAATCCTGATCGTAGCACCCTTACCAAGAACATGATCTAGGGGACGTGATCTGTCATTAGCTTTTCTGCCTTGTGAAAATTTTTTTTTTTTTGCATGTTAATTGAGATTGCATGAAAATGTACTAGAGTTTAAACTTATATTAAATACAATTAATTAAAAATATTGAGTGTTTTTTGACCTTCTTAATTAGGACTTTAAGTAGATGTAATTTATATGTAATTTCACAATTACGTCCATTGAAATATGGTTAAAGTGTATGGCTGAATGTGCAGACAAGCATTTATGGTAACTTAACTATACTTCTATTGAAACTAATATTTCATGTTTTATTAAATATATTTGTAGTTACACATTTGCAATGATGAAGTTGCAATTTAGTACATTTAAATGATATTAACATTAAATGTAATATAAAAAACTAAAAAAGTAACAAATTAAAAAGTACTCAACACATCAAAATAAGTGTACTTCTTTAAAGCATGACAAAATATTATTAAAACATAGTGATTTAAAATGCAAAGTGCATATTTTAAAAGCGTGCTTAAGTGAGTTAAGGAAACAGTCATAAGTGTGCTCTCTTTAAGTGGGCTTTTATTTCATTCATGTATTTTCTGTGAAACCTGTTTTATTATGCCTAGTTTTACTATGCATATCCTCATCTGCATATCATTTGCATATGATTATTCATCCACATGATAACATGTTTAACGGTACAAGACATTAGGAGAATATGAAATACGGATGTGCCATCACATTGCATTAATAAAAATCATTTAGTAGCCCATCCTTCCCTTGTTTTTTAAATAAATAAAATAAAATAGTGCAAAATGCATTTCAGAGAAAGTTTTTCTCAATCTTTTCCACTGGCCAAATAGTATTTTAATTGATTTATAATTTTAATGGAAACAGATAGACCTTGTTGTGCATTATTGGCACGAAACCATTTTCTTAGACAATCTGCTATTATCATGATAAGCAATTATCTCTGTAGTTAAAACATTAAAGCACAGCATGACAGAGGAAAAGTGTTTGAAAGCATCACATCCACAACAAATATTTATTTTTATTGAATATAAAAATGTTGTAACTTCTCAGTAATGATTTCATGTAGTTTAAGTGTTTAACACCATTAATGAGAATGGTATATTTAATCTAAATGTTTATATCAGAAGTAAAACATAGTTTAAATCATTCATTTATTTATTTAAACTGCTATTGTGAACATGCACTGTATTTATGATGGACTCATAATGAAGATTTACGGTTTTACTTCATCTGCGTCAGTTCCACTAAACGGCCCAACGCACTCGCTGGCGCGGATGTTTAAGAAGGGATAGATGTTTGCTTCAAGTGATAGGTTTGGTGAGTGAAATTATATTTGTATTATGTTTCTGTATATGTATCATTTTCTTTAGATTTTCTGTCTAAAAGTGACCAAAAAGACATTTAACTCCAGCTCACCATCGGTGTCGCCAAACTGCTCCGTCTCCAAAACGTTCGTACGCACGGGTCAGAGTTTGCTTAAAGGTGCGCACATTCTCCCGTCAAGTTTGTTTTAATAAATCACAACATATGTGTGGGAAGTGGCGTACGCCTCTTTCAGGGCCTGTTTTGTGCGTATAAATGAGGCCCCAGAGCTCAGGTTCCCCCAGGATTATTCTGTCTCTAGTAAATGTAATTCCTGGTAGAGAAGTGTTTGGCAGAGTTTTAAGTACTGGCCCACAGCCCGTATATTTAGCTGGCTATTGTTGTAGTTGCAGAGCGGTCAGTGTGATGTTGTTGTGGCCCTCGTGACAACTCCTGTTGTTTATCCTGTGAGTGTGTCAGAGGGCCGCTTCCTGTGTGTGTGTGTGTGTGTGTGTTGTGGCCGGCCTGATCCTGTTTTTCTTGAACAGATGTGTCATGTTCAAACTCTGATAACATCTTTCATACAGATCTCCAACAGAAGGAATGTCAGTTCCCAGTATAACTTATAGTATGCAGTTTTTCATGTCAGAGTTTCCACATTAGATTCCAGATCTTCACTTAAAACCTTTTTTCAACAAGCTGTAAAGAGTGTTTTAAGACGAGTGTGACCGTCTCCCGCTGTCTGTTGTCCTCAGAGATTCGGTTCACCCCAGACCCCCCCCGGGCACCAGGTGGAAGGAAGTTCGTCATGACAACAAAGTCACATGGCTGGTGTCGTGGACGGAGAACATCCAGGGCTCCATCAAATACATCATGCTCAACCCCAGCTCCAGAATCAAGGTCCGAAACGGCTCTTTACTCCAGACAGGGGTTTGATTTTTCACACCACACTTACATGTGTCCTTTCACAGCATGACTGAAGTGTCCTCTATCTCTCTGCAACAGCTCACGTTTAAAACTTCTTGAAAAAAGCTGATGAAGTAACTGATGTCAGTAATCTCAAATTCATATATATAGTATATTGGTCAGACACTTATATGTAATAGAGGGTGTGCGCGAGTGACACACACTGAGTGGCAAAAACCAAAAACACATCTAAAACGGGAAAGAGGTTTGCGATTGTCTGTACAAACAGATTTGACAAGAAATCTGAGGTAATAATTGCAATAATTAAAATGCAAATGAATAATTTGCTTTATGTTTTTCCCCGGCGTTGAAATCAGGCACATATAAATGTCAGGAAACACGACTCCTGCCTGCATGTCAATATCCACGGATCACTGGATCTTTGATTAGTTGTAAGGAACACTATATCGAGTCCAACCTTTAGTTTAAACCGATAATCGTTTGTTTTACTCGCGTTTTGCCACTCGGCCCGGCTGAGGGGGGCGTGGTCCGGCGGGAAAGTGACGTCAAAGCATTCCCTCTATACTAGCGATATCCAATTTGCAAAGGAATCGTTCATTTAAAGCTCTTTTGTTTAGTGATTTGGTCCTATGATGCTTTATTACTTTCTTTAGTGTGTAATGTTGCTGTTTGAGCACAAAGTCCCTCCAGTGGGATTTCTCCTCTATATCAGTGTCAGTGTTTCTGAACTCCTGAAACGCCTCCATTGTAGTCGTGAGTTTCTTCCGGGAACGAACACGTCACTATATTCCTCATTTAAATAATTCATACGCAGAATAAAGGGGCGAGACCTGGTTGAGTGAGTTAGTAGTGTGTTAAACTGGCGGGTATGGTAAGGGGCGGGACATTTCCCAAACACACTCGAAGCGCTCGACCAATCACAGCACACTGCTCCAGCCGACCAATCAGAGCACAGTCTGCTTTTCAGGAGGAGGGGGTTCATAGAGACAGGAACTAAACAGAGCGTTACTGACAGACTGGGAAGATTGTTTTTTGATTTGCCGGTTGTCGTAGGAGAAGCCACCTTACAGGACTGCGCCTCAAAACGTCTGACACTGCCTGAATTACGTCAGAGGTCAAATTTGATTGTAACAGTTTGGTACTCCAGTTAGTTCATAACAGAAACTAACGATCAAAGACTTTTGGCCGAGGCTCTAAGGAATCTTGTAGGATTCACAACATCATGTGAACCCGGCTTTAGAAGGATTTCTGAAGGATCATGTGACACTGCTTTAAGATTCAGCTTTGATCACAGTAATAAATTACATTTTACTATATTTTCAAATAGTTCAAAACAGTTATTTTAAATTGAAATAATAATGTAATACTAATTGTTTTAATAAATGAGCATAAGAGAGTTTTTTCAAAAATCTTAACAACCCGTAATTGTTTTAATGGTAGTGCGAAAAAAATATATTTATTAAAGGTCCCCTGACATGGGGTTATTTTATTATTTTATAATGTTCCCTGGGTTGCCCTTATAATGTTAGTGTCAGGGTTGTTGCAGGATACTGAAGACAAGGGAAAAGAATTTCAATACAGCTGGTTTATTCGCAAACTCAGGTTACATGAAAACACAGGAACTCAGGAAAACAACCATACACCGACGACGACCAACAAACACTGAGGGAAAACACAGGGCTTAAATGAACAGGTACTAATAGGATAATTAACAGAACACAGGTGAAGGGAATTACTAATCAGACAGAGCGGGAAAACTAACAGGACTGAACCAAAATCACAAAAGACGGGGGTGAACAAGATCACAAAAGTGAACTAACAACAGGACTAAACCAAAATCACAAATACAGGGGGAAACCAGATACCAAAACAGAACTTAAACACATTGAAACATGACAGCACCTCCCCCCTCCCCGAAGACGCGTCCTCGCGCCGTATAACATCCAAAGGGGTGGGAGGGTGGGCATCCTGTACTCCAGGACGGTCCAGGCGGAGCAGGCTGGTCAGGGGACCAGGGCGTAGCAGGTTGTGGGCGTGGCCACGGCGGAGCTGTCGGACCCTCGGGCGTCCAGGGCGGAGCTGTCGGACCCTCGGGCGTCCAGGGCGGTGAGGACCCTTCGGGTGGCCATGGCGGTGAGGACCCTTCGGGCGGCCGTGGCGGTGAGAACCCTTCGGGCGGACGTGGCGGTGAGAACCCTTCGGGCGGACGTGGCGGTGAGAACCCTTCGGGCGGACGTGGCGGTGAGAACCCTTCGGGCGGACGTGGCGGTGAGAACCCTTCGGGCGGCCGTGGCGGTGAGAACCCTTCGGGCGGCCGTGGCGGTGAGAACCCTTCGGGCAGCCGTGGTGGTCTTTTTTCAGGCCTCCGTGGGTCTTTGGCCGGCCACGGCGAAGGCGTATAGCCCCCCCCCCCAAAAAAATTTTCTTGGGGAGAAGGACAGGCTCAGGCTCAGGGACAGACACCGGCCCAGGAACAGACACCGGCTCAGGCTCAGCAGCCGCTAGAACAATAACGGCCACAAAGACAGACACAAACACAGAAACCGGCTCAGGAACGGGAACAGACACCGGCTCAGGCTCAGTAGCCACTAGAACAGTAGCGGCCACAAGAACAGACACAAAAACAGAAACAAACATTGGCTCAGGAACAGCAGACACTGGCTCCGGCTCAGGAACAGCAGACTCTGGCTCCGGCTCAGGAACAGCAGACACTGGCTCCCGCTCAGGAACAGCAGGCACTGGCTCCGGCTCTGGAACAGCAGACACTGGCTCCGGCTCAGGAACAGCAGACACTGGCTCGGCTCAGGAACAGCAGACACTGGCTCCCGCTCAGGAACAGCAGGCACTGGCTCCGGCTCTGGAACAGCAGACACTGGCTCCGGCTCAGGAACAGCAGACACTGGCTCCGGCTCTGGAACAGCAGGCACTGGCTCCGGCTCTGGAACAGCAGGCACTGGCTCCGGCTCTGGAACAGCAGGCACTGGCTCCGGCTCTGGAACAGCAGGCACTGGCTCCGGCTCAGGAACAGCAGACACTGGCTCCGGCTCTGGAACAGCAGACACTGGCTCCGGCTCAGGAACAGCAGACACTGGCTCCGGCTCTGGAACAGCAGACACTGGCTCCGGCTCTGGAACAGCAGGCACTGGCTCCGGCTCTGGAACAGCAGACACTGGCTCCGGCTCTGGAACAGCAGACACTGGCTCCGGCTCTGGAACAGCAGGCACTGGCTCCGGCTCTGGAACAGCAGGCACTGGCTCCGGCTCAGGAACAGCAGGCACTGGCTCCGGCTCAGGAACAGCAGACACTGGCTCCGGCTCAGGAACAGCAGACACTGGCTCCGGCTCAGGAACAGCAGACACTGGCTCGGCTCTGGAACAGCAGACACTGGCTCCGGCTCAGGAACAGCAGACACTGGCTCCGGCTCAGGAACAGCAGACACTGGCTCCGGCTCAGGAACAGCAGACACTGGCTCCGGCTCAGGAACAGCAGGCACTGGCTCCGGCTCAGGAACAGCAGACACTGGCTCCGGCTCTGGAACAGCAGGCACTGGCTCCGGCTCTGGAACAGCAGGCACTGGCTCCGGCTCTGGAACAGCAGGCACTGGCTCCGGCTCAGGAACAGCAGACACTGGCTCCGGCTCAGGAACAGCAGACACTGGCTCCGGCTCAGGAACAGCAGACACTGGCTCCGGCTCAGGAACAGCAGACACTGGCTCCGGCTCAGGAACAGCAGACACTGGCTCCGGCTCAGGAACAGCAGACACTGGCTCCGGCTCAGGAACAGCAGACACTGGCTCCGGCTCTGGAACAGCAGGCGATGGGCTCAGGCTCTGGCGGGCAGGCGATGGGCTCAGGCTCTGGCGGGCAGGCGATGGGCTCAGGCTCTGGCGGGCAGGCGATGGGCTCAGGTGCTGGTGGGTAGGCGATGAGCTCAGGTTCTGGTGGGTAGGCGATGGGCTCAGGTGCTGGTGGGCTCGATCACCTCCTCTAATGTGACCGCCCAGGGTTCCCCTAAACCTAGCCAACCGAGTTCCCACGAACCGTTGACTCATCTTTGTATTTTTTACGGGTTGGTCGTTCTGTCAGGGTTGTTGCAGGATACTGAAGACAAGGGAACAGAATTTCAATGCAGCTGGTTTATTCGCAAACTCAGGTTACATGAAAACACAGGAACTCAGGAAAACAACCATACACCGACGACGACCAACAAACACTGAGGGAAAACACAGGGCTTAAATGAACAGGGACTAATAGGATAATTAACAGAACACAGGTGAAGGGAATTACTAATCAGACAGAGCGGGAAAACTAACAGGACTGAACCAAAATCACAAAAGACGGGGGTGAACAAGATCACAAAAGTGAACTAACAACAGGACTAAACCAAAATCACAAATACGGGGGAAACCAGATACCAAAAAAGAACTTAAACACATTGAAACATGACAGTTAGTATGTTTTTTAGATCAAAAATAGTCATAATTTAGAAATAAAAGGCATTTTTCCTAGCTTGATTTTAGCCTCTGATTTGAACGCTCTGTTTGAAGGGGCGTGTCTGCTGTGGATTCAGTGTAGCCAGCCACTGCTGTGATTGGCTGTGGGATTCAGTGTAACCGCCCACTGCTGTGATTGGCTGTGGGATTCAGTGTAACCGCCCACTGCTGTGATTGGCTGTGGGAGTCAGTGTAACCGCCCACTGCTGTGATTGGCTGTGGGATTCAATGTAACCGCCCACTGCTGTGATTGGCTGTGGGATTCAGTGTAACCGCCCACTGCTGTGATTGGCTGTGGGATTCAGTGTAACCGCCCACTGCTGTGATTGGCTGTGACATGAAATGTTGCCGTGATGAGCATTGAGCTGCAGATGACAGTCTGTTGATCGCGAGAATGAAGATCTTATCATTGCAACGCAGTTTCTGCACTCTCTCTAATGCTTTCCCCAATGCAAACACGATGATACAGTAAGAGCTTCGTTGTGCAGTGTAACGTGCATCATTGATTTCATAACGAGTTGTCCAGATAAACTCGCGCTGTGTGGAAAGATTGTTCTTTGATCGCTTTCTGTATAGTTTGTTCACAATTTAAATACGATTATTTTCATCCTACTAAAAGAAATGATGTGAAGTTGATATTTTAGTCACTGGCTTGACTTACTGATGCATAAACAGTATTGAACGATTTTGAGAGAAAGGTTACCTGACCTGTCTGAACTTGAACAATTAGGCTAACTTACACATCAGAAATTGTTGCTTGGTAGCTCGATCGATTTATTTTCAGTTGTTCATCGAGTTGAGGAAACAGTCGTCGGTGAAATGTTCGGACCATACACAACTTTGGGAAGTTGTGTCGGCGCATTTCCAGAGAAAATAAAATTAACCCATTGTTTCTTCAGAGGCTCGGATGAAGGAACTAAAAAATACTTTTGTGTTCATTTGTATATTCGAACACTGATCAACTGCCATGCTTCGCTCGTTTGCAAGCCATGATATCTCTCGAGGAAAAACTCAAATCTCAAGGCTATTTCTCTAGGAAAAACTTACACATCAGAAATTGTTGCTTGGTAGCTCGATCGATTTATTTTCAGACGTTCATCGAGTTGAGGAAACAGTCATCGGTGAAATGTTCGGACCATACACAACTTTGGGAACCTAGCTCATTTTCTCATGGGCGAGCCAAATTCTCCGGGCGGGCAAAGCAGAGAAAGGGGAGGTAACCTTTCCCCTATATGACGTCATACGGAGGAGATTCAAGATCAGCGCGTCCGAGCTTTCATTTTCTCAACGGCAGAGAAAGATAGCCAAAGCTCGGTTTACACCGATTGAAATTTCTAGCCACTGGGGGACCATATACAGGCTAGGGGAACTCATATTAATGTTAAAAAACCTCAGAAAGTGAAAATTTCATGTCATGGGACCTTTAAAAACATATGAAATCCCAATGAGGAACTTCTGACACTTCTGAGTGACTCAAATGATTTGTGGAATCAGTTCAATGAAATGAACCAGTTCGCTCCTGTAAAAATGAAACTCTTCAATTGTAGTTAAGGTTTGTGTGTGTGTGTCTCAGGGAGAGAAGGACTGGCAGAAGTACGAGACGGCGCGCCGCCTGAAGAAGTGTGTGGAGCGGATCCGAGCGCAGTACCGGGAGGACTGGAGGAGTAAAGAGATGAGGATCAGGCAGAGAGCCGTCGCACTTTACTTCATTGACAAGGTCTCGCTTCATTGCACACATTCTGCTGTTTAAATCACTACATTTGAAAAGTACCTCTTCATCTGTTAAGGAAGGTTTCTGCAAACCAAACTGCAATGGTGAATCCTCATTAAAGTAAGATATAGTGGACATATCCTATCATTTCTTTCTTACAATATATAGCAGTGGTCCTCAATTGTTTTTTCTTCAGGACCCACTTGGTTGCCCAACACAAAACCAGTTATTAGTAAACGTGTCCTTAATCAAATGTTACTTTCACATTGACAAATTCATTAATATTGTTAAAGTAGGCTAATGTTAAAGTTGTTCCTCTTTGTCGCCATCTCTGTTCGATACAATGGCTTCTGCATTTTTGTTTTGCTTTTCCCTCCATTGTACCGAAATCGTACCGAACCGTGATGTCTGAACCGAGGTCTGAACCGAACCGTGACTTCTGTGTACCGTTCCACCCCTACAAGTGCTGCGAGGGAAGGCTATAAATCTCCACCTCCAACATCCTCACACGCAATATAGCCTACTAGCCGAGACTCTTCTTTATGTGTACAGATGTGTGTGTACAGATGTGTGTGTGTGTATAGATGTGTGTGTACAGATTGTGTGTGTACAGATTGTGTGTGTACAGATGTGTGTGTACAGATTGTGTGTGTACAGATTGTGTGTGTACAGATGTGTGTGTACAGATTGTGTGTGTACAGATGTGTGTGTGTGTGTGTGTGTGTGTGTGTGTGTGTACAGATGTGTGTGTACAGATTGTGTGTGTACAGATGTGTGTGTGTACAGATTGTGTGTGTACAGATGTGTGTGTACAGATTGTGTGTGTACAGATGTGTGTGTACAGATTGTGTGTGTACAGATGTGTGTGTACAGATTGTGTGTGTACAGATTGTGTGTGTACAGATTGTGTGTGTACAGATGTGTGTGTACAGATGTGTGTGTACAGATTGTGTGTGTACAGATTGTGTGTGTACAGATTGTGTGTGTACAGATTGTTTGTGTACAGATGTGTGTGTACAGATGTGTGTGTACAGATTGTGTGTGTACAGATGTGTGTGTACAGATGTGTGTGTACAGATGTGTGTGTGTGTGTGTGTGTGTGTGTGTGTGTGTGTGTGTGTGTGTGTGTGTGTGTGTGTGTGTGTGTGTGTGTGTGTACAGATGTGTGTGTGTGTGTGTGTGTGTGTGTGTGTGTGTGTGTGTGTGTGTGTGTGTGTGTGTGTGTACAGATTGTGTGTGTGTGTACAGATGTGTGTGTACAGATGTGTGTGTGTGTGTGTGTACAGATGTGTGTGTACAGATGTGTGTGTACAGATGTGTGTGTACAGATTGTGTGTGTACAGATGTGTGTGTACAGATTGTGTGTGTGTGTACAGATGTGTGTGTACAGATTGTGTGTGTACAGATGTGTGTGTACAGATTGTGTGTGCGTGTACAGATGTGTGTGTACAGATGTGTGTGTACAGATTGTGTGTGTACAGATTGTGTGTGTGTGTGTACAGATGTGTGTGTACAGATGTGTGTGTGTGTGTGTACAGATGTGTGTGTACAGATGTGTGTGTGTGTGTACAGATGTGTGTGTACAGATGTGTGTGTGTGTGTGTGTGTGTGTGTGTACAGATGTGTGTGTGTTCAGATGTGACGTAATGACGCAAAGACATGCTCGAATCTCCCGCAGAAATCCACCAGTACCGCTGGAATTAAAACATTATTACAAGCTTACCGCTTTGAATCGAGCGAAAGCAAGCAGAGAGTTTTGAACACTGGCTGGTTGTGTACTTACTCAAAAATTTATTTTGGATAATTTTTAACCCAAAAAAAGCTACGGACTGCAGCTTTAACTAAAATATATATTTTTTTTTTACATATATATAAAATATTACTAATTATACTAATAATAAATTAAACATTGATATCTGCTGACAATATTTTGTCAAAACATTTATGATATATTAACATGAACATGAACATAACCATGAACTTGACTTGGAAACATAAACTTCACCAAACAGCAGTTAGAGGGAACAACATTAACACACAACAAAGAACATGAGGGCTATATACTGTACACACAATGACTAATGACTAACAAGTAACACCTGTGAACAAAACGACAATGAACCAATGAGAAACCAACTGATTAAACAAGAACCAATGAGAATATAACACATGAACCAAGGGAAGCACATGACAAACAGGAACCATAAATATGAAAACTACAAATTAAAAGACATGAAAATAAATAAAACGCAAACCAACCTGACAATTATTTACATTTAGCATAGTGATTTTATTTGCAACTCATCAGAACAGACCTCCAACCTTCCAACCTGATATACCCAGGGGTGCACGTCACTTTCTTTGGTCTAGTTCTCAACGGAGCAGCTCTTTTCTCTCGAACATGGTAGATGATGATGATGAAGAAGGATTTTTAATTTTATTTTATTTTATTAACATTAATGACACAGACAACTGCAGGAATATTAGGCTGCTGTCACTTTAAGATCGAATGCACGGACCAAACATACTGACACACATCCGGTTTCTTTCTCAACTTTAGATAACCAAGAGAATGCTTGTCGAGACCGTATTTTGACATCATTTTGTGTGTATGTGTCCGTTCAAGCGCAAGTAAATGCGAAAGAGGAATCAATTCAGTGTTGTTGTCTGAAACTCGTCTCTCTCTCTCTCTGTGTGTGTGTGTGTGTGTTGCAGCTGGCTCTGAGGGCTGGTAATGAGAAGGACGAGGGCGAGACGGCTGATACGGTGGGCTGCTGCTCTCTGCGCGTCGAGCACATCAAGCTCTACCCTCAGCTCGAGCGGCAGGACTTCGTGGTGGAGTTCGACTTCCTGGGGAAAGACTCCATCCGTTACTACAACACAATCCCCGTGGAGAAAAGAGTGAGAGAGACACATTGTTGATATGTGACTCTGGATTATGGGGAGGGAGGGAATGTTTTTCAATGCTTATAACTAACAAGTATATATCATTTTTGTTGTGTTAGGTCTTTAAAAACCTACAGTTATTTCTTGAAAACAAGCAGTCGGAAGACGATCTGTTTGACCGGCTCAACGTAAGACATTTCCCCATGAACATCATCATTCCTGGTGTGCATCTTTAGAGCCTGACGTATTAAAGAATAGTCAGAAAAATCTCTTTTTTATGTACATTTATTGAACCTTTAGGCAAAATATTTAAAAAGAAGGTTTACATGTGTGTTTTTTGTTGAGTGTCATATTTGAGACATCAGGCTTTTATGGCTCACATATACAGTGAGAAGTAGTTATTTTAATTAGTAAAGTAGTTTGTGGCAGTTGCTGATATATATATTGTGAAAATGTAAGATGAAATTCTGAAAGGTTGTAATGTAAATCAGTGAGATTTTCATAATAGTATAGCAGATACAAAATGCAGTCGTCTCTCTATATCTCTAAATTGTCTTAGTTGATATTTAAAAGCTTAGTTTTATGATTAATGTTCTGTAGTTTTTAAACATATAATGCAATACAATGATGATTGAGAGATTCAACAAATTAAAGTTTTGGTCATGTTGATCATTTAAAAGCCATAGTACCAAATATGATACAGTAGGTTTATGGGGTCAATGTGACATGCGCTGTCTGCTGTTCCTCAGACATCAATCCTGAATAAACATCTCCAGGAGTTGATGGATGGGTTGACGGCGAAAGTGTTTCGCACTTACAACGCGTCCATTACCCTCCAACAGCAGCTCAAAGAACTGACCAGCCGTGAGTCTCTCTCCTCGTTTCCATATCTGTGATCAGAATATTTAGCAGTTTCGCTGTTTAAATATTGTATTTAAATGACTTCATGCTGATTGTTACAGCTGATGAGAACATCCCTGAGAAGATCCTGTCGTATAACAGAGCGAACCGAGCCGTGGCTCTTCTCTGTAACCACCAGAGGGCGCCGCCCAAAACCTTTGAGAAATCCATGCAGAATTTGCAGATCAAGGTGAGAAGGATTCAAAATCACGAGTATTCGGGACTATTTTGTCTGTCATCAGTAAAGGGAAACCTTTTGTGCAACGGTATCATATTGTTCTGTAGATAGACGAGAAAAAGAAACAGCTCTCTGCTGCCAAGAAGGAGCATAAAGCAGCCAAAGCCGACGCCAAGACGCTTCGCGATGAGAAAAGTAAAAAGTAAGCAAGCTTCGTCTGGCAGTCAGTTTTTAAGTCTTTTGTTTTCATTTAATTGAATCGAAATGGAAACTGATCTAATACGTATTAACGGCGCAGGCAATGAAAAGTGTGCAATGTTATATCAGAGCCATGATTAAACGTGTGTGTGTGTGTTCTTCTTCGAGGGCGGTGGAGATGAAGAAGAAAGCAGTGGAGAGGATCTCCGAACAGCTCCTGAAGCTGGAGGTTCAGGCCACAGACCGCGAGGAGAATAAACAGATCGCATTAGGCACGTCTAAACTCAACTACCTGGACCCACGCATCTCAGTCGCCTGGTAAGAGGAAGAGCCTCTGTCTGCCTTCATGGCGACTTCGCCAAGTAGGACTTGATTCTAGTAGTCTGACTTTTACTTTAGTGGTTGTAGTGTAGATATACTGTAGGTTGCTTATGTCTCTTCTGAGGGGAAAAACATGCAGGCAGGAACAATGGGCTCTGGCAGTTTTCCTCTTGTTTGTGATGTCCGTGGATGGGAAACGGTGGCGGTTTAGGCCCAAGAAGGGTTGACCTTTACCCATACTAAATGTGCGTTTGTGAAAGAGATTTCCGTCAGCCATGATCTCTTGTTTACCACTTTCGTCCGTCCACAGGTGCAAGAAATGGAGAGTCTCCATTGAGAAGATCTACAACAAAACGCAGCGAGAGAAGTTTGCCTGGGCTATCGACATGGCAGATGAGGACTTTGAGTTTTAGAGGTTATTTTATATTGTTGATGAATTGTCCATAAAAGGTGTTTATCACGATTTAATCATATTGTTGCTTGTGATTTGATCAGTTAAAGGGTTAGTTCACCCCAAAATGTAAATTCTGTCTGTAATTACTCTCCCTCATGTTGTTCAACCCCGTAAGACTTTCGTTCATCTTCAGGACACAAATTAAGAGTATTCTCGTCGCTTGATAAACTTAAGATTGAGCCACTGTCGTCACTCGGACTATTTTAACGATGTCTTTAATAACTTTTCTGGGCCGGCCAGTTTCAATCCCTTAAGAAGCCTATGGAGGAGTGATCCAGCTCTCAGATTTAATCAGAAATATCTTCATTTGTGTCCTGAAGATGAACGAAAGTCTTACGGGGTTGAACAACATGAGGGCGAGTAACTACTGACAGAGTTTACATTTTGGGTTGAACTAACCCTTTAAGGATAGATGAATTTAAAGTAAAACACAAGCCGATAGTTTCTCTCAAAATAAGGCTGCATATTAGTTGAGTGGTTATTTGTTTAACTTAAGCTATTTGAAAACAAAAGGGGGCCTGTTACTGAGCCTTGCTGAACACCACTTCTTTTCACAAGAAAAGCTGCCAGTGTTTCATACCATGCCTTCAGTTTTAGCCTTTAGATATATTGATGAATTGTATATTGTAATAACATTTTTAATAGTCCTTAAGTGAAATAAGAAATGCGTAAAGAAAAATCATGTAAATAGATGTTTTAGCTGGCATATATAAAGATAAACAATCAGAGGCACGAATGTCATGCTGAGGCAATGCAAACAAATGTGAATGTCTTTCTTTGTTATTTTTGCGCTTTGCATTTAGTTTTAATATTTCTATCAGGGATGTACATTTTGTTTTTTAATGTGTGTAAAGAGCTGTATTTTAACAAAAGAATGTCTCACTTTTCGTTATAGTGATTATATTCCTGCGTATCCTGTTTAGCACTGTCCGTCCCTTTTTATTGTGTTGTTTCATTTCTGTGCATTTTCTGTAGTATAACAGTTTCTCGTGAAAGTAACATTATTTATATGTTGCACAGCCCTATTTATATTAAGCGTATGTAAAATGTATTAAAAAAATGATTCCAATTAAATTATGAATCCATAAATTATTCAGAAAAAGTCCATGATATCCACTGTCAATGGAAAAATGTATGTCTGGCCACTTTGATGTGTTTATCGAAATCTGTTATTTTTTTTATTAAATTAAAAAGTAATTAATAGCCTTGTAAAGCCCTGCTTACAGTTTTTAAGAAGATCATACTGTAAATATGAGACGCAGTTGGTCTTTTTAACATTTTACCCTAAGTTTTCAACCATGTTTCATTTTATTCTGCCGTAGCAAATTAGCTCTAAAGAAATATTAATAATCAATCTTAACTTATAATTGATTATGAATATTTAGATCAGTTAATAGAATGTAGTAAAATTAATATTACAATCAATCCACCTGTTCGTCCTGTGAACAGTGTTAATTGTTTATTAATTCTAAGAAATGTACATTTCCGGGGAAGGGAAATGTCTTTCTTACTGTACAGTACTACTAAGAGCCTGTAGCCAAAATCTGAATCGTAAAATAAACTTTGTTGGAAAGATCCATTTAACTATGAAAAAATCATCAGCTTATCATCTTTAGGACACCTCGTTAAATGTATACTTGCATGGCCTTTGCAGTGAAACATTTCGTGAAGTTCCTGAAGAAGGAACTTCTTGAATACAAGAAGGAACGATCTTGGCCAGGTCGCGGTTGCAAATGAGAACCTGTTCTCAACCGATTTTACCTGTTAAATAAAGGTAAAATAAAAAATAAAAAAAGGATTTTAATGGTCCCATCATGAGTCTCAATCGATTTCTTCGGCGTTGACTGAAGAATTGGTGATGAACTTGCGTGGTTGGTTTGACTCTGTTCCCATGGCTGGAGTTCCCATGGCCCAAACAGGAGAAGGGAGGAAGTCGGAAGAGCTGCGATGGACTTCTTCTGCGTTGAATGAAGACATTGTGCCACACTCCTGATCCTGTCCTTGATTCTGTTGTGGGTGAGAGAGTCCTCTCTCTCCTGAATGAGTCTGGGGCCTGTTTGTTGCGGCCACGCAGGACAGATAAGCGAACGTACCGAGAAGGCCAAGAGAGGGAAGGGCTTGTGTAGAGGCCATTTAAAGCCTGAGAAAGGTCCCACCTCTCAGGCTTGGCTCGACCAATAAGAAAGGGGGAATTTCCAAGCGGGAAATTCCTCTGTTGGGAGGATTTATGGCTCTGTCTCAGGTGTGGTTAGACATAGGCCTTGCTGTTTGTGCCCATTTATACTCGGATAGATATCACAAACACACACTGCATTCTATGAGAAGGTGATGTACACTAAAGTGTGAGTCATTAAATGAGGATTAATTAGATAGGAGACACGACGCAGTTGGGTTACATTGACTGTTGGTTCTACTATCATAAAATACATAGTATCAAAGACATAATAGTACACAAGACAGTAAATCATTCACAGTGTCCTGGGGTGCATGTTCATTTACAGATCGCTTCGTCCATAAATAAATTAATGCAGAAAAGTCTGTTTTAAGGGCTGTGGGTCTTTTCTATGGCCTCTGCTTTTTCCACGTGACCACATTTTTAACAGCAATAAAACAATCTTTTCTGATAGTAGTCATGGTAACCAAGACCCATCTTGCCCTTCTTGGGGCCATGGGACCATAGTTCCCAGAGTGAGTTTTTAACATTATTTGTTAAATATAACAAATAATTGTGTCTGATTTGTCTCAGTCGTTACACTGCCGTTTTAAAAAATAAGAGAGAAAAAACCCCATACAAATCCTAGCTTTTCCAGGCATTTTTGTAAACGTTATATGTGAGATTAAGCACACCATAAAACACATCCTCACTGTTCTTACCTTGTAAGCTTGAATGTTGGTTTTGCTTCGCATCAGTGTAGAAAGACAACAGTTTACACAGTCGTTTTGTGAAGGTCATGCAATCGTACATTAACCCTTAAGATAAACCAAAGTTTAGTTTAAGATTGATTTTTAAGTCCGTCCGTGTATATAGATGTTGTTTATGCAGTGTGGTCATCACTTATGACAGCGAAATGTAAATGTAATATGGAACTTAAATGATATTGAGTCTTAAATGCTAAATATATGATGCTTAAAGAGGTGCCATTGGTTAGTTCTTTTGCTGACAGTAGTTGAGAAATATGAAGCATAAAGGACAGATTTATATGTGTGCAGAATAGCTTCAGCTAAAGAGGGATTTTCTTGTTGAAACCTTCGTTTATTTAGCCTTGTAAACCTGTAATAAAGGTTTTCAGGTCACATCCTCCGTGCCTTGCTCTGAATGTGTGAATGCAGCGATCTGCATCTGTGGCTTTGGTTTATAACCTCTTCCTATGTGGGCATTGTGCAATTGCATGCGTCTTTACTGTGACATTATGCTGCGCACCAGTTTTGATTTGCAGAACATTGTGTTCTGTGAGAAAACTAAGAAAAAAATAGGTTATGGTTTTAAGAGTTTCAGGATCAGAAATCTATTGGCCAAGTTGAACTAATAACCAATTTCACTTGGGTTTAAAATGAAAATTTTCACTCGCCATCCAATTTGCTACACCGGCCATTCAGAAACTCTACTAGCCAAAACGTAAATATCAGAAATACACCAGATTATCAAAATCGCTGCTTAGATTTAAATATATTTAGTTGGGTGGCTTTTATGTCTCCCATGAAACAATACTGCATATTTGACATGAAATGTAAATAAAAAATAAATAAAACGAAACTTGACAGACAAATTTACCCAATATTTTCCGAACTTCACTTTGAAATAAAAGTTAGTTATATATTTCTAGATTAGCAATTACATTAGCGAATTTACTTATTCTCTTTGACAAAAATAAATTAAATTTGTTTGTCCCACAAACTCCAGTCCACCCAGTGACTTACACTGACTTACACATATGCCCTAAATCACATGACTTGCTAGGCATGACATCATTTCCTTAGTGGGAAAGCAACTAGTCATTAATACTCGTGAAGGTTTTTTTGGCTGATTTTATGTTGTATATTGAGTCTCTTAAATGTATAGATAATAAGAAATGCACTGATACAATTGCATTTGCCAAAGAATTGAAGATAATTGAACAGTGAAGAATTATATGATGTTTCTCTTTTTCTTCAATACTGATTACTGGTTTGTAACTTTCTCGTAGCTATTATATTATACAAATAGTTAAACTTAGCCCCTTTATATTTAAATTTTATTTTTTATATATTTCTTTTCATTTTTTCTTTATATTATAGTTTAGTCTCTTACTTATTTATGTTAAACTAACTTTGGAAATTCTTGGATTGTTGTCTTTTTGGATGTCATGTTATTGTTTGTTTGTTATGTCTAATGTCTAAAAAAAAAAGTCATTTTTACTCATACATTTTCTCTCTTTTTCTAGAAGACTAACTTATAGCGTAATTTATAAGATGTCCACTCTGTTGTGTCAATTTACATTGGACATAAAAATCTTGTTATTTTTATATAGATTTTATAGCTTAACCCTTGTGTTATGTTGCGGGTCAATTTGACCCGTTTCGATTTTCAAGTTGTTGGAAATACTGGTTAACCTTTGTTTTGTTTTTTCTTGATATTTTGTGACTTTTTCTCATATATCATGATGAACATGCATGCAAAGTTTCAACATGCTGATGTGTTTTGACATATACAAACAAAATTACTGTTACGTTCGTGATGTTCGCGGGTCAATTTGACCCTCATAGACAGCCATTCAAAAGCAACTGTACAGACACAAAATAAAAACATTTATTTTCTGTATGTCAGGGCACTTCAACTCCAGTTCTAACGTGCAAGTGCATCTAAAAGTGCTCTAACCCTAACCAAACACACTTGAAAAAGCTAAAATTACAGTGTTCAGAATTATTTGCAAATTACAGATGAAAATCTTTGTCAGACACAGATAGTAAAATAAGCTCTCATTTCAATATTCAAAATATCTAAAATACCTAGCTTTTAACCAAAACTTTTATGTAGGATTTTCAAAGGAAGCTTCACAGAGTCAAAAAATAAATAAAAAACATTTATTTGAT